AATCCGGAGGGGAAAGAGAAGGAGCTTCCATGAGAACAAGTCACCCTCGGGAAGCAGTTATTTATTTTAAACATAAATAACTAATGCACTCATAACACATACCTAGATTTAACTATTGTTTGTTTTTGTTTCTGTTTCTCTTTGTTAGCTTGGGAAAATGAGGGCTTCTCTATATTTGAATTGATAAATGAGAAACAACTGAAAAAACAACTTAGATGGTCAAATATGTCTAGAGTTTACCAAATTGACGATGAACAAACCAGTGAGGCAAATAACTCTATGAGCATTGTGATTGCTGGAGAGAGACATCCCTCCAGGCGGGACATCCCTCCAGAGTGACTCAAGCGCGAAGAGTCAGACAAGTTCAGACAGAATAAAGGCACATTCTGTCTGGGCCCCTGGAGGTGCTCCTAGGCCAAACCTACCATGCAGAGGTCTAGAGGACTCACGCACACTGCGGAGTGGTTGCATCTGAGAAGTCTCCCAGAGGTCCCTTCAGAAGGGGCTGGTGTGGGCACTTGCCTGTGGGCTTCTGCAAGGACACGCTCGGGAGTGCCCGCTCTCCATTGCTGTGTGGACTTTCTCCCCTGCTTGTTCTTCAGCGTCTGGCATACGAGTGCCATGGTGGGATGGTTCAACTTGGCTGCTCACTGACTTTTCTCTTTATTATTTCCTATTCCTGATCCTTGAGATTCCCCAGAGCAGATAATTGGAGAAGAAATGTTCCCAAGGACCCCCTCCCTGGAACATTCCATAGTTTTTCAGTAGACATTCCTATAATTTTCAGGGCAGTGAAGAGAGGTTGTGAAAACAGGATCCCAGGAAATGCCTTTCCCCACAGGAGTCTAGCTCCCAGGCAGAAAGTCCTCTCTGTCTCAACGGCTTTTGGAGACAGCATGAAAGTCTCTCAACTGAAGACACGTCGAGCTGTGCCTCATCGGTGAAGACCACAGTACTGGATTAGGACTTGGTGCCTTTCTAAAGATGTTTCCTAGCATTTTATAACATGCTTCTGTTGTAACATGTCTAACTTGGCATGAGTGCTAAATACAGGGTTTGTCTGTCCTTCCCATTCAAGACCCTCTATAGTGACATCCTCATCCCTCTCCAGCAAGCAGTGCCCGTGGTCATCCATTCCTCTCACATCCCGCTGTCCTGTTCGGTAAGCCCTAGTGCACATTTTACCCTCTCGGTTGCTCTTCACTACCATGCCACTGTCTTAAATCTTACCTTTGTTCATAGTAAAGAACCCTACATCGCTCAGCGGTTCTATGTAATAGGCTGGTTCTCAGAATTGGAATATCACACACATCTCAGGTTGTTAAGCTTTGATAGAGTTTCTTTGTAAATTATTTAAACTTTAGATTTCTGTGAGATCACTTTTTAACATTTTAACACCATTTTAAATTCTCCAGTTACAATGTTGGAGTTTGGGATCAGTT